GAAGCCTCCAGTGTATTCCCTAAGATAACAGTTGGGGGATGTGAATAGCCCTTGCATATGTGTTCTGTCTGCTATCCTGATCTTCGATGACGTGTGATTACAGATTTGTCCTGTGCTGGAGGACCAGGTTCCGTTTTTCATAGACTGTGCTGTTGTATTTTCAGTGGATAGCTTTTCTCCATCATCAAGATTTTGAGAAACGACTGAGTCCAGATTCCTGAAAGTTTCCATCATCACATGTATCTATAGTTTCTTCTGGAAGGTCCAATGCTGCCCACTCCTCCTGGGGAAAGTCCACGGCCACATCTTCAGCTGCCGCAGTGTCCATCCTAGCTCCCACTTCTGGTAGTCGAATTGAATGTGCTCTCTGGGCCCTGCACCAAGAGGGTTAGGAGAGGAAGCAACACAGTCACTAGGCAGTTTGGAGGCAGGTGAATGATGTGTAGATGGCGGCCAGTCATGTCAGGATGTACAAGATGGTCGTCCTTGGTCTCCAGTTGCCCTCGTGGGACCACTGCTCTGAGGATCCTCTGACCTGAAATGGACGTGGATTCTTTAGTGACACACAAGTTCACTTCAAACACTCACACCCTGCCCTCGAGAAGTACCCTTCAAATGCAGGCTAAAGACCAACACAAACATACCCCGGCACAAAGGTCTCACACAGCAGCAGCCATTGTTTAATAGTAATCAGACAAGCTTCAGTGGCTCAGGTGCCCCACAGCAAGGTAAAAGTGGGGACTATCAACTTGACAAGTTAACTCTGAAGGTCTTGCAGAGGATTCCCAGGAAGAATTAGGCTACCTAAGTGTGCATGCCCATTGGTTATGACTATGGAAGCACGCTTGCTTGCTGGAAGTAAGGTAGACTTGAAGACTTGCTGTTGAAGATCAAGGTTTACAGCATTCACTACGGACTACAACTCAACGTAAAAACAAAAAAAAACACCCCAAAATCCTCACAGTAGGATCAAGAGGCAACATCACGATAAATGGAGAAAAGGTTTGACATATATATTGAGAATATCTTCTTTCATTCTGTGGACTGTTTTCATTTTTTAAATATGTTTTGATGAATATAATTCTTAGTTTTAATGTAATTGAACTGATTTTTTTCTGTATCACTGATGTATTTTCTGATCCAATTAAGAAATTCTTAGCTACTTCAAGATTACCAAGACTTCCTCCAAGGTGATCTGTGTGTTCCTATTATTCAAATTGTCTTGCTTTCCTTTTTTTTCTTCTAACAATTATTTTTGCATTGATGAATATTTTAATTCTATTTATTTCTTTATGTAGCATGCTGATTATATTTATTTTTGCTATTATTTTAGTGTTTATTGTTTAATAAAATGGACAGAAAATCTCCAAGTGGCATTATTTTCCACCAGATGTGGCTTTCCTTCTCATGTGATAGGTAGAAAGGCTCCTTATTTCAAGCCAATCAAGGTTTCAACTGTATTATTGTTCGTATTTGTCTCAGGAAATTCACTACATCAGGTAAAGTGAGAAATAACTAATTAAATAAAAACAAGAAACAAGAATACACATACAAACTGAAGCCAACTACCAGTGGAACGGAAACTACACCCAACCCCACCCATTCACTTATGCACATACAGACACAGACACCTAACCCCAAGCCAACAATTGTTTTAGTTTTCTCTGAGATCATTGTGTGCTTATCAAACAATGTCACAAGGTTTGCACAGTAGGAATGTAGCCACAGGTACATGAGGGTTGGGATAGGAGAAATGTTATGGTCAACAGGGGTTTGTGGGGAGTTAGAGATTATTCCACCTGGTGTTCTGTGTCTCTTTTTGGTGGTTTACCAAGAAAAAAAAGAAAATGTCAAAGTAAGAGAAACACACGCAACACTTAAAATCCAACCAAACCCAGACCCTGAATTAGCTGCTGACTGTTCTCAAGACCTCCATCCCAGTGGTGGCTGCTGTGGGCTCACTGTGTGTC